TAAATTTAATTGAGAAGGAAACTTTCCAACACACATTTATAAAACATGTTCTTCATTCAAATCTCATCCTCCATTTATGGAGGATTATACATTTATGAAATGCAATGGGAATAGTTCCAAAGGCCCAAAGAGTCTATCATAGGGTATGAAAAGAAGGAGAATATGCATTGGTAGAATCAACACAGTAAAAATGGCTGTACTATCAAAAGCAATCTACATGTTTAATGCAATTCCCATCAAAATCCCACTGACATTCATCACAGATGAGAAAATCCAACGCTAAAGTTCATCTGGAAGCACAAAACACTGTGAATAGCCAAGGCATACTGAGCAAAAAGAGCAATGCTGGAGTATCACAACACCCGACTTCAAACTATATTACAGACAATAGCCATAGCAATAAAAAATAGCATGGTTACTAGCACAAACAGATACAGACCAGCGAAACAGATACAAAGACCAGCGAACAGAATAGAAGACCTGTATATAAATTCATGCACTATGCCCACCTAATTTTTGACAAAGACACCAAAAATGAACAATGGAGAAAAGACAGCTCTTCAGCAAATGTTGCTGGTTAAACTGGATATCGGCACAAAACTGAAACTAGATCCGTTTATCACCCTGTAGAAGTGTCAACTCAAAGTGGATTAAAGACCTTAATATAAGCCTTGAAAATCTTGAAGCAAGTACAGGAAAAAACAGAGAGGCAATAGGCATAGGCAAGAACTTCCTCAGTATTGAACCTCAGTTACTTCCTCAGAAACTAGGGAAAGGATCAGCAAACGGGACTACATGAAATTAAAGAAGCTTCTGTACAATAAAAGAAATGATCTGTAAATTGAAGAGGCCACCCACAGAATGAGAAATCTTTGCCAGCTATACATCAGGTAAGAGACTGATAACCAGAATACCCAGTGATCTCAAAACTAAACTCCCAAAAAATTCAATGACCAGTGAAGAAATGGGCAAATGAACTGAACAGACCTTTCAAAGGATGAAGTCAAATGACTAAAAATACCACCATGAAAAAAATGCTCACCATCCCTGGCCATAAAGTAAATGTAAATCAAAACCACATTAAGATCCCACCTTACTCCTGTTTGAATAGCTACCATTAAAAAACTCAAAAGGACAACAAATGTGGCAAGGATACAGATAAAAAGGAACCCTCACACACTGCTGGTGAATCAAGCTAGTACAACCACTATGGAAGACAATATGGAGGCTTCTTAAAAAAAACATTAAAAAATATCTACCATTTATCCAGCAATCTAGGGACATACCCAAAAGAATGTGAATCAAGCTTACAACAAAAGCATCTGCACACCCATTTATTGCAGCACTATTACAATAGCCAAGCTATGGAAACAGCCAAGATACCTCCCTACTGACGAAGGATTAAAGAAAATGTGTATTTACTACAATGGAATTTCACTCAGTCACAAAGAATGAAATTGTTTGCAAGTAAATGGATGGAACTGGAAAACATCACCTTAAGTGAAGTTAGCCAGACCACAGAAGGCCTAACCCAATGTTATCTCTCATTTGTGGAATACAGACCTAAAACAAATATAGCAATATTATGAAACCACTTGGTCACACCAAGGGAGTCATTCATGAGAGGGGTAGGAAACTACAGAACTTGAGTAGGGTGATATACTCCTCTATATGATGCATGTTAGAAGTCTTAAAACTGACTGAAACTACCACAAGAAAGAACTGAAAGGTAGAATGAAAAAACATGTACGATGATATAGAGCATCATGGGTTATAATGCACTACATGGCCAAAATTACCACAAAGAAAACTTCCTCTGATTAGCAGCTAACTTTATCGCAACTAAATTACATGCTTTTTGTTTATCTTTTGTCTTTTTTATCCTACAAGAATTTGAGAAACAGGAGGCAGAACAAGTTCTTGGCCCAGGGAGGTGGCTGCACCTTGGGAAGGGCGAGATGCTTGGAGCGAAAAATGAGTGAGATATAAATGTAATACAGCTGTCTAATATATAATGGTGTAATACATGTAAGTAAATTAACAAAAAGAGCAAACAGTGTCTAAACGAGCTTATTGACAATGCGTCAGATCGTAAGTTATCCCCACTTTATCTCTCTACTTTAACAATCAAAATATTCGTTCTCCGATTATTGAAAACAAGCAATCCTCCTTCTACAACCAACCACATATATGCAGACTTATCCAAAAATTTAGAATTAAAGACAACCAGTTTTCAATGGAGCACTTGACATCCCTAAGGTTGATTACTACCCTACTAACGTAATAAATAAAGATAATCAGGTGCTTCCAGCCTGCTCTTCACTGGACCCAGACATCCCTCAGCAATAAAAGGGACTCTTGACGAAATTCAGGCCAGGTCTCTCGTGATGGATGGGATACCCCCCCCGCTTGGGATCCCTCCTCTGAGACAATGCCTAGTCCAAACGCTCCTCTAAAAGTGCACAGTGTGACCCTCCGCCCACAACTCTGTTCCTACAAGGAGTGTAGCCCAGCCCTCCCAGCATCCTGAACTCTGGTCCTGACACACTGGTCTCCCTTGACCAAGCAGACCCTCGTGCCCCTGGCTACCTCCGGTCTCCCAAACAGCCTCTCTCCAGCTAGATTCAATGTATCACCCCAAAATAAATAAGTTCACTTCCTATCTCCTGTAATGGAATTTTCTGCCATATGACTTTTTTCAAATCTGCGTGACAAATATGTTGCCTTCAGGTCAGGTCTCTCTCTCAGGTGTTACACTTGAATGATGACTCCCAATATTACCTACCCAAAGATTTACAAGATTCTGAGAGCAGAATTTATCTTCTGAGAGACTAAACCATAGAAGAATCAATTTTATAGTATTGTCAAAGAAAAAAAAAAAAATTACATAAAATACAATATTATATTAATGTATAATATGTGAAATTTGCATAAATTATACGATGAAAACACATCCCAATTCCCACATAAGAAAGAGAGACCAACTTTAAAATAAAAAGTATGTAACAAGAAAACATAAATGCAATCAAAAATTTCAAAGGAAAAATCTCCAAAAAAATTGAAACATTAGGAAACAAGAATTCCTCCATCAAACCTGGATTAAACACTCAAACAAGTAGTTTGATATAGAAAAAGCCCACTTATTATGAGAAATTAGGAAAAGAAATGGAAGAGGAGGGCAGGTAATGACAAAAAAAGTGAAGAAGAGAAGAAATGAAAGTTAATTAACCTAAAAAATAAAATTAAAGAGCAAGTTAACACCTTCAAGGGTAAGGAGATGCACTTTTCCAGGAAATAGATTACAAGAGTTCTGTTTGTTTATGGGAATATTAAATTTTCATCCATTTTGGGTAGCAGTTTGGCATTGCCTACACAAACATATTCTATGTGCTTGATTATGATGTGTATGATAAGCGTGCATGCCTATTTGGACAGCATTTTGGTTGATCTATTAAAATGGAACCTGGTATTGTGGCCTGTAGCTGGCATTTATAGCACCATACCAGCTTACCCAGAGCAGGTATCAAGCCACAGCCCATTGACCAAATCTCACCAACTGCCTGAGTTTGAAAATTAAGTGTTGGAACATAGTTTTCTCTGCTGTTTTCATACAAAATGGGGAAGTTGAAATCTGAGAGACCAGTTGTTCCACAAAACTGAAAACATTTATTGTATAGCTCTTTATAGTAAAAATTTGCCAATGACTGTCAGCGAGATACTCTTGTGAGCCAGGCAAAGTGGTGCGAACCTATACTTCCAGCACTCAGGAGGCTGAAGCGGGATTGTGAGTTCCAGACCAGCACCAGCATGGGCTACACAATGAGACAGAAAGACAGAGATGGGTATGTTTTTTAGCAGGGATGAAGAGAGAGAGAGAGAAGAAGAGAAGAGAGAGAGAGAGAGAGAGAGAGAGGAGAGAGATTCTTGTAAATGTGAAGAAATGTGTGAGAATGCTTCTCATGAATAAGCTGAAAACCTCACAATTATTCATTATGAGTTGAATAGAAAAACTAGATTGGAACAGTTTCCAATAATGGATGATTTGTTAAACAGTAGAGATAATTAAGGAGTTACATCCTTAACACTAAGTACTAAGTTGTCAAATGCAGTTCTGGAACCTGGGACTTCACAACGCCATGAGCGCATCTCCAGAAAAATGCTGATTGAATAAAGAAAAGGAAGTGAGAATGCTCTTTCCATTTGTGGCAAGGTTAAAACTAACTATATATACTCTAGAGGTCACAGACTTGTAATAAAATACAGTAAAGCACAAAATGCACTAAGCTGGTGTCATATTATTTTTGGAGGATAGTGGAGAAAAAAAGCAACCAGGATGACACCTACATGGAGTGTCAGGACTTGTTCATACTTTCTTCCTTAAATGGGTGGTGAGGACAAGTCTGTTTGGCTTACCAACCCAATTTGCATTAAGTATTTTTGTTTACTTATTATTTAACTTAAAAACATCATTCCAAATTCCAGATGAAATGATCACTTGTTTCTTAGCCAGAGAAAATGTAGCACTTAAGTATCTTATCTCCACAAATTATGCTTATACTCTCACTTGTGTACCTAATATATACATTGAGATGGAAAATTTTAGTGCTACACATATTTATTTCTATGTGCTTCTGAAAGAATCAGTTGGGTCCATTTATACATATGAATACTTATGTACACACACTCCTATATATAAATATAGTTTATATTATACAAAGTTCCATATGCCTGCAGGATAACTATAAGGTATAGCACAATGGATATTGCATGGCTTTTGGTGTTAATGTTCTTTGCCTAGGTTATGACTCTCTTTCCTGTCTGCTAGGTGAACCCTGAGTGCTTCTTCACCTCAGCGCATTTTTCTGTAATGTGGGAATAGTAACAGTATCTACTTTTCCATTTTGTGTGGCTAAAATAAAATAATGCTTAGTAGTCATTCATATAAGTAACTGTGTTACTTCCGATCTGTAGCATGTTCTGCCTGCCTGTATTTGTTCCAGGTTGTATGACTCTCCAGGTGACATTGATTTGTGGCCTGCACTGATGGTCGAAGACGTGATCCCTGGCACAAGAGTGGGACTAACACTTATGTGCCTGCTTGCTATCCAGTTTCAGAGGTTCAGAGATGGAGATAGGTGAAGGATTATATGTTATTCTTATTTAAGATAAAAAACTTGCTTTTCCCCCAAATATATATGTATATTAACACTAGAATGTGCTTCCATATTTTCCATGATTTAAAACTTATTAGCTATAATAAATAATATATAGTGTTTGGTCACAGGACTTTTTTGACCACTGATAATATCATGCAGTGTTTATTTTTATAAATGTTTATAAGAAGAAAAGTAACAAACTTTTTTGGAAGGCCATAGAAGTGAGTGGCTCAGGGTTCATGGGAGACGGACCACCACGTGTCTGAATTTGCTTGCTACTGCTTACAACCTTTACTATTCAGGAACATATCACTCTGGACCAGGTTCTTTGAAAGTGTGTAAGACAATATACCTATTCTGCAGGACAACTGCGACCTTGAATGCTATAAAGGGGGAAGGAGTTGATAGCATGTGTGAGACCTTCTCCTACTATTCTCATGGAGAAACACCTGGATGAACAGATCAAATCACGTAAAGAGGGCATTTACTAGGGGAGAGAAAACTGAAAGCCCATCTCAAAATTTTTTTGGCTTATTGTAAATAAACTGAATTTATCAGAGTATGGGAGATGATTGGTTGAGAATGTAAATTAGTAATGCAGTCCCTTTACTGTGGCAAGATTAAACGAGTATAAAAACTAAGCCACTCCTCCCAGTTGGTGTGTACCCCTCTTCTATCACTTGGGACCAAATGAGCTCTAAGGTGAAGACATCGTGTCTTCTGAAAGACTAGTAAAATTTAGTATTGAGTAAGGTCTGGAATTCTTGTGCTTCTGTTGAACCATTATTATTGCAGAGATAAAGTGTATATAGCTTGAGACAAAACTTAGAACTCAGTTTTTGATTAAAGTTACACTGAAATTCTTTATAAAATTTTTCTCCCATATTTCCTCCATTTATAGGTTATATTATGAAGAAAGTAGTAAAATATGTCATTACCTTTATACACATTGGTGAATATTAACAGTAAATTTCATTAAATTAATTTTTGTAAATTATTTTTAACACTGTGGGTTTCTTTCCTTAAATGATTGGTTTGATATGTTCGATAGGCACTAATTAAGATACAGTTAAAGACTGAACAAATTTGGGGAAACTCCAGTGTTTTGTCTTCCCTGTGTGTATTGGTTTGAGAGGATTTCTGTGACAAAGTGCCACACACTGAGAGGCTTAAACATCAGACATTTATTTTTCTCACAATTCTGGAGGTTAGAACTCCAAGATCAAGGGTCACAGGGTTGATTTCTAATGAGCTCCCCGCTTGTAGATGTAGTCTCTAGGGAGAGACAGACATTTCTTCATCTGGCCTTCCCTCTGTGTGTGCCTGTGTCAACATTTCCTCTCGTAAGGACACTAGTCACATTGGACTGGAGCTACCCACATGCCTCATTTTACTTCAGTTTCCTATTTAAGGGTCCTATATCCAAATGCATTCACCTCTGAGGCACTAGGATTTAGTACTTCAACATATGAATTTTGAGGGACATAGCTATGTCAGCACGTGTGTGGCATTTACTGTCTTAATTTAATGTGGTATATCCAGAGAGAAAAAGTACTTACCATATTACCTTATTCAAATATTTATTGCATAAACAAATACAAGGACTCTTTTAATAGTCTGTTTTTACATCCATTCTTTCATTTAAAATTGAATATGTTTATTCTAATTAGTTAGTAAGTATAACCAACTAGTATATATTATCAAAACTATTTTCTTTCGAGGCAAAAATACCAATATTACATTATTCAGACAATTTCTAAGGTAGTTTAAAATTTAAAAGTTTTTTTTTGAGATCACAACAAAACCTTGAATCACTTTGTAAAGCTTGAACATAAAGTAATAATTCAGAAGCACAGGATTTAGAAACTTGACAAGTATTGGAGGAGGTTAAAAGACATTTATCTGGAGAACAAGCATGAGCCTTTCAATGTGCTGCTCTTTTTGCGGAGCTCTTCTTTCTTCTTGTGACTGTTTGGCATGCAGCTGAGTCCTCAGGACAAAGACCCATGGCAATAACTTTCTTTGTTGACTACCAGGTTCTGGTATGAAAACCCTGGAGTGTTTACTCCTGCACAGCTCACTCAGCTGAAACAGGTGTCGCTGGGCCGTGTTCTTTGTGACAATGGTGACAGCATTCAGCAAGTCCAGGCAGATGTCTTTGTAAAGACAGGATACCCACAGGACTACCTGAGCTGCAGTGAGATCCCACAGATGGATTTGCGAGCCTGGCAGGACTGCTGTGAAGGTCAGTAATGACACAATGAGCTCTATCCAGATCTACATATTTGCGTGTGTGAGTGTGTGTGTGTGTGTGTGTGTGTGTGTGTGTGTGCACGCACGCGTGCATGCACATGCACTTGAATTGTCTTCACTGTCAGAGATTTTGCAACTTAAATCTATGTGAAGAACACCACCAGAATTTCCTCTTTGAAATATGAAGGATGTTGATAGGTTGGACACCAGAAGGATGCAGTCTACACTGTGCACCCTGTGCCTTCCACTTCACACTAACCTTGTTAGAGTGGAGAGAGGCTGCTGGTAGCACTGGGCTCTGCATTCTTACTGCATCTTGGGTTGCTTACTGAGAGCAAACTACAGTCACTTGCTACTAATATGTCTGCTTCTTGATGGTCAGCTGATAAGAATGAAAAGAAAAATCATAGTAACCTAGCTAACTTGGACGACTTAGTCTCATAAATATTGCATCTGTGTTCACTAGAAATATGAGAAAGCCTTGATGAAGTCAGATAAAAAGCCTTCATGACACAGCATAATTTGCAAGACCTACAGTGTCATCTTTTTTGAGCTAAATTCTCACTTAGTTGCTTCCTAAACATCTATTTTGGCCTCACAACATTCTTAAGAAATGTAGATCCTATTCTCCTTAAAAGATATTCTCCTATCTCTCCTTAAAAGATGAGTAAAAAAAATGGCTCAGAATATTAGATAACTTTCTCAAGGTCCAAAAAATGAGTAAGTGGAGCATCTGGACCAGGTGGAAGATGATTCTGTCTTCTGACACCTGGATGTGAGATGAAGACTGGATGATTCTAGAGCAGAACACACTGGTAGTGGCACAGTGAGCAGTGTCTGTCATCCAGCAAGTACTCAATGCTCTTCTGGCCCCTCCCAACACCTATGTGGAGATCAGATACCTGGTGTAGCTCTGACGTTTTCTGGGAACGAAGTGATAGTTCTCATCACACAAGTAGTATCAGGGGGATCCACTAGACAAGAGAGGAAATGGGTAGCCCCCAAAAAACAAGAAGTGGGAAAAGCAGCCACTAGAAATATAACAGAATGCCCATCCAGAACACAGTGACACCTGGGTCCTGGTTATCTTTTTCTTTGTGGTGGTATTTTACAGGATGGAGCGAAAACTAATTTAAGGTCTGGCTGGATGGTTTAGGTGGTAGAGCACCTGCTTAGTAAGACAAAGGCCCTGAATTCAACCCCTTTATTACCAAAACAAAACAAACAAAAAGAAAACTAATTTAAGAGTGTGGGAAGAATGGCATTCTTTCCTCACTTCAAGTTCCTGGTGATTAGGTTCAGAAATAATGAAATCTTTCCAGTTCTACCATACACCAACTCAGGGAGGCACTTACAAACCAAATGAATGGCCACAGCAGTGCTCTGTCCACTTCTTCTCCAGTGCCCCTTAGACGGCACACTGGGCCATTGGCCACAGAATAGAGGGTATGGGCTATGAGAGAGCACCCATCCCCTATATGCTACAGTGACTCAGACCAGAGGCAGGGGCTCTGAGCCCAGGGCACTCAGGTGCGCCATTACTAGGTTTTCACAGCTTCGACCCATGATAAGTGATTCCTGTAGACACCTGTCTCATGCAAGCTCTGTGTCTCTCAAGGTAATTTTAATTATCCCCTTTTTTCATATGAGGAAAATAAGGCTCCTAGAAGCTAAGTATAATTTTTAAGATCACACAGCTGATCTGCAGGATTCTGCTTTTTCCTCCCCTGAGTGCCTCCTTAGCATATGAAGGACAGATGCATGACACACAGACTTGAGGGTGGCTTTTTCTCTTGCCTTTCCTTTTGCTCTCATTACTCCATATCTGAGGACAGCTCTTCTGGTTATTTAAGTTGAATGCATGTGCTATGTGTGATGTTTGTTATTGAAAACACAATGCAAGCATTTAACAGGCATGGAGTTTGTATTATTCTTATCATTAAGATCTGCAGTCCCAAGCAGATCTTTGCTAAGAGTGTCTTAGCAAAGTATCTGAAAATTAAGTAGTCAGTAGCCAATATCCACTGCCCAGTTGGATAGAAAATGCAGTGTTTTTGTCTATGATATATCATTCTCAAAGCCACGGGTTCTGATGTCACCTGTGTGGTTCCAGTCATAACGCAAGGAGTCAGAAAATGTTTATGAGAGTCATTGCGAACAGACGCACACACATTTTTCTGTGTACCTTTTGACTCACAAAAAGGGATTCTTCAGAAAACAGTTTAAAAGACATTCTTTAAAATAAGACATTCTTTAAAACAGCATGGAATATCTGGCCCTAAGTGGGCCACTTACATATGGCATGGGTGTCCTTCACCCCGCAACTAACGGGACAGTGCAGTAATTAGGCGTGGACTGAATCAGCCAAATCCCGGAGGAAGCAGTTTGTAGGTTGCAGCTCTCCGGTTTCACTCAGGTCAAGCATTTTAATGGTCTCAGTTAATGCAGCCCCAAAGAGCTTGTTCAGCGGCTCTGTGTCCACCTCTGAGACGAGAAGTTGTTGCTTCCCAGAGAGGGGGAGTTGTTTTGCTTCTTTTCCAAAGCCCCTTGGTGCATAACCTAGAAATTATCTATCCTTACTGTTCAGAATAGCTGTCTTTGCTACATTTTCATTCATCTTGAGACATTCTTCACTTTCCTTTGCTAATCTTATTCTCAATTGAAAACTAATAAAATAATGGTGCTTAAGTGATTTGATTGTCTTCACTGATGTTACCCTAGAGAAAAAAGAAAGCTGTGTTTGGATTTAAATGGCTACTTCACGCCATCCTAGAAGTTTATTTTTCTTAGAACGAAGCTATTATTAAACTGATTCTCAACTCCTCATGTTACTTTTATAGAATACTTTTATTTTCAACAGGGCAATTTGTTCAGTTCTGTTTCCATGAACAATAACCTACCAGTTAATACTATCAGCAAGTTCCAAATCTGAATTTAACTACAATTTCTAAAAATTCTGGGAAAATTTTTTACCTCTGAAATGTGTAAACACATTAGAATTACCCCTGAGTCTGTACAAAAGATAATGTAAATGGAATTAAGTTTCAGATAACTATTTATATAGTCAGACTTCCATGTACATGAATTTCGTATCTGCAGATTCAACCAATTGAAGGATCAAAAATACTTGAAAAACTTTTGTCAGGACTGAACAAATATGAACTTTTTCTTGTCATTGTTCCCTAAACAATGCAATACAGTACCTATTTACATTGCTTCTACATTGTTCTAGATATTATAAGTAATCTGGAGATGATTTTAAGTCTACTGGAAAGTTTGCGTATGTTCTATGGAAATACTGTGCCATTTTATATAAGAAATTTGAGCATCCTTCAAGTGTGGTATCCAAGGAGGTCCTGGAACTAGTTCCTCAAGGATATGGAAGGTCTACAGGACTATGATACTCTTTGTAGATAAAAGGCATAAGACCTAAAATACATGGTGTTTGTGTCACTTAGTTGCAGTGCTGTGGGTTTATGTGAGTAAAGAAGTTATGGAGAGACTTAGGTGTTAAGGAATTGGAACTTGTTCTGTTTCCCGTGTCATATATACCATTTGATGAAGAATTTTGTTTTATACTTTGTTCTCACAAATTTTAAATTCATTAAAGCTAAAAATGATTGTACAACAGCAGTAGTAGGTGTTTTCTTTGTGCTGTTTAGTAGTTGTATTATGTCATCTATTTAAGTTTGCTTCATACCTTGTACACATTTCTCCAAGCCATTCCATAGAAAGATAATTAACTCCTTTTGCTTATTGCTTAGTATTTAATGAATATGTTTGAATATACTGAAATTATGCAGCTATACTTTATATACATATGACAGTACATACATTTCCATTGACTACTTTCTTACAGAATTACAAAAGTAAAGTTGCTGAATTAAAAGATATATACTTGTTAATTTAAAATGTCAGATTTATTTCTAAAATTATAAACTTTACAATTCCATGAAAAATTACACAAGTATCCATTTCTTCACTTCTTCACTAATGATTGGCATTACAGCTCTTTTTATAGGTTACTGAGTGAAAATTTAATTACTTCAGGTTTATTTTTAATTTGCATTTCTCTGTTAGTATTGGTTTGGGAAATGTTCTTCTCTGTGCCTCATGCATTTATAGAGTTTGTCTCTTTTTTATGAGTTCTTGGTAAATTCTCCATGACAACAGTGGTGAGAGTAACCTCCTATGACTTGTCTCTGAATTGAAATGACTTTATCATTTTACCCTGCAGCAATATATTTCACAGTTGCTGTGTAAATTTCTTTATAGTTAAGTAGGTTTCCTGGATTCATGTGTCCTATCTCTCTAATAGAAACAGCTGCTTCATTTCACCCACACTGCTGCATCTGCCTGCACATGGCCGGCTCACAGATCTTAGTGTGTAGTGCATTTATGTGAGAACTTTTAAAAATTTAGTTCCCTCATTTTCTGTCATTTAGAGTTTTCCCTCATAAGTTAGTCCTTTTAAATTTTCCCTTTATTTTCTTATACACTGTATACAAAAATACACTAAATATCATGTATATTTGTGTACCTGTGTTCATATATAGTCGTATACATGTAGAGGTGTATACATGTGTAGGCATATGCATTTATGGGTGAATACTTGTGTACATGTACATATGAGTGAATGGGCTTGTACATTTATAGGCATATGAAGTAAAGCTGTGTACATGTATGGCACATGTAAGTTCCGTTTATGCAAGTACATGTGTGTGCGTGTATGGGCATGTGTGTGTATATGTGGTGCACTTCTGTGGGTGCAGGTGAGTGTATGTAAGTACATGCATGTACTGTGAAGCGTATGTAGGTGTGCACATGTATAGGTGTGGGCTTGTGTAAGTGTTCATGTGTAGGGTGCCCATGTATAGGGTGTGCATGTATAGTCTGACATCTTACCTTTATTCCTCATCACTCTTTTCTCCTCCTTATCTGTGTTTCTGGAATGATCTATTCGGTTTGCTTATTCTTTAGTTGTATCCTCAA